CTAAAATTGAGGGTGAGGGCCAGAATGCACAGCCGCCCGCAGAGCCTGGATCGTGATGAGTCATTGGAGATGGACTCACGTAGTTTTGGGAAAGTGAGATGTAGATAGGGTAAACCTTATCTTTTTTCGACCTTGGATGCATTCCAGCTATACATGATCTGAAGTAGCTCAACTCAACACTGACATCTCAGAGTCTTTGTATTTTTGTTAGGGATGCCTGGGTCCGTGTTCGTGGATTGATGCAGAACAAGCTTGAAACCTTGGGCACAGCCATAGAAGCCAGTCCTTTCGATGAAGCTCAAAGCTGGCTGCGGGTGTGGCCCTTGATTCAGTCCTGGGGAAAAAGGAGCTCTCCAGCCATGTCGGGTGGATTTTCTTGTTAGGGTGGTTGGTGGATGGACTCCTTGTTACAAGAGTGTTTCTCCACTCAAGACTTGTTTCCCCAACTGTACTGGTTGTCTACTTTTCTTACTGATGCTCAGTTGCTGGCCACTCTGTATGCAGGTGCTGCCTTTTCGAAGGCAAGAACATCCCCGCTCTACGCGTGGTGCTTGAAAGAGGTGGGTCTTGGAGAAACATGGCTTCAAACTGCTGACATCAACGAAAATTGATAGCAACATGCCTGACTTGGATCATGTTGCTGGAACTGGCCCGAGTTTAGGAAACTTCTTTCACAAAGACTAGGCAAATGCTCCACTATGTTGAGAAGGACGTGGGAGCAGTTTCCTGAATGGTAATATTGTTTGGGTTGGATAGTGTGCAGGTAGACCCCTGACCCGCAGGAGTTCAAATGGCATGGCATTAAATTTCAAGGCCCTTGCAAAAAGCTTTCCCTTGCAGGGCACAAGGGAAAGCACACTTCGAATGTCCAGCGGGATATTTTGAGGAAAGTTGACCACGGGGACCCTGAGCAGGCTGGAGGATTGGCAGAAAATAGACCTCAACCTAGGCCTTATTTTGGTATGTTAAACAATAAGCCACGATGTCTTGGAGAACCCATGTTGTGCCTGAAGTGTGGTGACGTATATATTATGAAATCCATGCTTTCCCTGATTGATTTGTCTTGTTTTAAGGACAAATGGACAACCAAAGCAGGAATCTCCCTGGTCAGGTTCCTATTGATTGGATAGAAGTGCCACTGCAGGTGCAACGAGGACCCAACAATGTTGAAACCAGGACAGCTGTGGTTCATGGCTGGGTGCTTCTGTGTTAGCAACCAGCATGGTCATATGAGAAACATTGCATCCGATTGTACCAACAAGCATGGTTCATGTGAGGAAACATCCGATTGTGTTGCCGCACAAACTGGTCTGCCATCGGTCATGGCCAACGATGGATGCTGGTGAGGTGAGGCAGTATTGGCAGCATCTGTCAGACCGCCAAAGCCCGTTGGCAAAAATATCCCCTGAAAAGGATCATGTTCCATTGTGGCTTTGGGGTGATGAGGCCCAATTTAGGAAAGGGAGTGGGGAAGACATTCTTTTATTGTGCATGGGAAGTGTACTGCACAAAGAAACATACTCGGTGGCTTCGTGCTATCCCTTGACTATTTGCCGATCCGATTCTCAATCAAGTTTAATATATGGGCAACTTTTTCTTGTGTGTTTGGGGCAAACAATTTTCAGGTCTTTTTGTTCAAGCTTCAACTCCCCCGATGTATGGGAAAAAAATTACCATCTGGGCTGGTGGATTTAGCTTCTTGCAATTCTTGAAATCGGTGAAATCGGACATGTCAGGAAATTAAAGCTGGCTTCCCAACTGTTCATGCGCTTCTTCAAGCTGTATCTCGATCCGGCTATGTCCAAACTGTTTCTTCTATGTTTTTGTAGCCCGGGCCCTGATCCCCCACTCTCTTCCCCACTGCCTCTGCAGCCCATTGGTGTTGTGAGCCATGCTGGGCCTTCCGGGCTGAGGTGGTGGAATCTCTGGACTTGTTGTACCACCATGGAGCTGACCGTTCCGGGGAGTCTGTTCGATATGCGGTTTCGGAACTTCGTGGGGATTGGAAATTCCAGGCTGATACATGGCAAGTGTTTGAAGAAGTAGATTTTGTGGAAGTCTTTGGGCTCCCCTGGGTGGTTGGTTTAATTCACGAAGAACAACTAGCTGACCTGAGGAGTGGCTACAACTATCGAGCTATTATTTGTCCAACTCTGTATGTCATTGCTGCCGAGCACAAGCCCCAAATTATTTCACTGCTCCTGCCAACTTGGGGAACCAGTTTCGCCACTCTACGGAGACGTTCCTGGCGGAATGCATCAAAAGAAACACTGAATTGCAAAGACACTAGGCCTTGACCAATGTCCAGTAAATTTTGGTCTTTGTTCAAATTTTAGTGCAGATGACCCCATCATCGTGCTCTCCAGAGAAGCCTAGGCCCATTATTAGACCTGCCTTGCTTTTGCGTTGAGATGGTGCGTTGGGACGGAATGCACACCTGCAACCTGGGTGTAGACTTGTGGGTCATTGGGAGCATCTTCAAGAAATTGTTTGAGTATGGTGATGTCTTCGGGGGCAATGACATGGATGAATCGGATCGATATCTGATGGCTTATGACATGTTCAGGAATTGGAGCAGAGCACACCAGGTTCGGTACCGTGTCTGGAGATATTCAGGTTTTCATGTGTGTTTCTAATATTATACCTTAATTGCCGGTTTACGACCGTCTGTGAGCTCAGGCATAGCATGCCAAAATTCAGGCCTTGGCGCTTTAGATCAAGGCAGCACCCATGGCCAGAGCTTCAAGCGAAGGCGTACAATGTTCCTTAATCTGGGACAGAATTAGTACTAGCAATAAACAAACATGTGTGTTTTAAGATGGGATGCCTGTGAGAGTTTACTTTGGCGTACTGGGGGTGCCCTCAATCCCTAGGCCCAAAGCTGTTTGTAATGGCATCTGAGGCCAGGTGTGTTACGGCATGGCTTTGCGAGGAATGCATTGATATTGCAAATCAACATCCTGGTGATGAGTGGTTGTCATTGATGACATCATGTGTGTTGCTTGCCAATGCTAGAATTAAAGCAGTCTGGAGTTATGTTTTTGAGGACCTTTTTAGTACTGACAGTGCCCTCTCTTCTTTACAAACATCTGCAAGCTGCTAGTGGACTGGTGAAATATTAAAACGCTGGCACTTTGAGCTAAGGTTGAAGACATGTCTTGCTGGGAGAGCACTAATTAGCTTATAATCAAATATGACTATGCCAGAGATGAACCACTGTGCTCAGGTGGTACCTTGCAGAATGGCATCGCAAAACGGAATTGCTTCCACGGTTCCTATCGGAGGGTCAATCGAAGGAGATGCTGGACATCAATGACAGGTTCTGCTGCTTTTATGCGATGCTTTCCAAAAAAGCAATTCAACAGGATGAGCTTCTGTTCCCTTCCAGGCCAAAACTGCATGTGCCTTAATCCTTTGTTTGTGATCGATAAGTTTTTTTGGGATAGGTACGCGCATATGTATATGACATAGACTCTGGACTTTGTAATGTCGATCAAGCATGTCACTGACATCCCAGGCATTTCAAGAGATCGCTTACATCCAAGCCCAAGAGTGCTTCTTGGTCTTTAATTCTAGTCCAACCTTTAGGAATGCTACCAACCATGGGAGAGGGCCTCAAGCTGTTCCTTGAATTTTGCTTGGCCACTCTCTGGCCATTGTTCAGTCATTTGAGGCTACAACCATAGGTTTTATCAGTCGTACAAGCCCGAAGACGTCATTGGGCGGATGGTTGTGGTGTGTGCAGCTGGAAACAACAGCAATGTCGAGTTTATAGGGCTCAAGAGGTTCTTCCTAGGGTAGCTTGATGCACTATAACGAACTGTGTTCTATATTGTCTTTCTTTTGGAGGTGTGGTGGGCCTGATTTCAAAGCCTCCCTGGTAGCTGCCGTGACAGGCAGAAGAGCCACTACGAGCTAGACCACTGGGAAGCCTTCGCTACTGACTCCGATGTTGAGATGGTGGATGGTTTGTAAAGGTGAGTGCAATTAAAGCCTAAACTTGCTGCATAGTTTTGTGCAGGAGAGGGCCTGAAACAAGTCACCTCCTGTGCTCTAATCTCCAGGATCCGCATCTTCCAACGGCATTGGTGACCAAACTAAAGAACAGGTCTCTACTTTAAACTCTAAACCACGAGAACTAACCCACCAATGCAGGTTGGTGGCTATTTGGGCCATGTGCGCTGTGACAACTGCATGTATATGTGAACCAAGTGAAGAAAGTGCATCTCAAACACTATAGTTTGATGTTCAGCTTGACCTTGGTGGATGTGTCGGAAAATCACATTTTCCAGCTTTGTGTGAGCACTGTCGCGGAGGGGGGGTGGGCTCAGAAACCTCTCTCAAAGGAACAAAATGTGATGTCGCTTCTCAGTGAGCACGCGGGAACCCTAGGGCTATAAAAGTTAGAAGTCGTACTAGCATGCTGCATCTGCTCAATGAATTGCAGCCATGGCCGGGAGTCCGGACTGCCAGTCCCAGACAGGTCGTGTTCGCATTTTGTGGAAACGCCGGAGTTCGTTTCAAGAAGAACCACCTGGGGCCTGGGGCACCCCTAGAATGAGCACCGATACTGGAACGCCTTCCCATTGGATTTGACGATCAAGTGACATGAAACAAACAACGTGGATGAAACAGGTCTGCATGAATGGGATGATGGCTGTGTTGTGTCATTTGTGGCGTGGATGGGATCATGGCTGTGCCGCATGGGAGAAGGAGTTTGGGTCAGGAGATGCTCAGAACTTGAGCTGAGCCGTGTTCACATGCGATCTCTCAATGACCCTGGCAATGCAAGTGCTTCTTGCGTGTGAGTCTTTTCTCCTTTGATGCGGTGGAGCCCTTGTTTTCCAGACAGAGGGGGAACCTAAGTAACTGGCGGATTGCAGGCAGCCAAGGAGCCAGAATCCCAGAATTAATATGCCGCTATGCCCTCCATATGTCTCAATCTTCCAGAAGCAGCAGCAGATCTCCAGAGTCAACCACGCTCTGACAGCAGTGCCAAGGAGAAGATTGATCAGTACACCCGGGAGGACCCGGGGTATATGACTCCTGGATTGGAACCCTTACATTCGCGACTTTATCGACCCGGTGGTCACAAGCACCCAGGACCGTGGGCATTGGTATGATGTACGATGTATGTAGATACCTGCACCGTCCCTAACGGTAAAAAAACATCATCATGCGCGGTATGATTCATACCGTAAAAAAGAAAACGTGGGAGGCTCATGCGGTAGGAAGCATCATACCACAGGATACATTCAGCAACGGTAAAAACCAGAATTGGAAATCAGTATATTCATAGTCCGTATATTCATACATTTTCCTACATAATCAGCATACTGTATTCCAATATATTGCTTATTCAAACCAAAAACATGTTCATGGTCTTTCCAGTTTGTTGAACTCCGGATGGATCTAGGTCCGACTGTCCTGCATTCTTCTGACCCAGTGAGCAGACTGAGCTGCCTATGCATTTTGCAAATTTTGGAGAAGGACTTGTGGCAAACCTGGTAGCTGTGTGAGTTGGAGCAATTTTTGTGTGGAAGGAATTTCCGGACATGCTTCAAGTCACAGCCACCAGGTTTGCCACAAGTCCCTCAGTCCCTCTCGGAATTTCACCAGAGTCCCAAGGCATTCGCGGCGGTCGCACCAGGACAAGATGTCTTCTATTGTTTCGTGATGCGGGTGACATGTGGCACTTGCTTCGTGACCAAGGGATTGAAGGACCCGGTTCAGCTGCTGAAGGAAGCTGCTGGTAGCTGAAGCTGTTGCTTCAACTGAGGCACCCTGCCTGTTGCCAAGAACTTTCCGTAGATTCAACAGCAGTCGGTTTCATAAGAACAGCAGTCGGTGTGTTTTCTCCATCCCATGGCTAAGGGATAGATCATTTGTTCGCTGCATTTGGGGCATGGTGCGTCTTAGACTAGTGGACCTGCACTCGAGATCTGATGACCCCCACCGAAGCACCGTGCCGGTCCGGCCCGAAGAGATCCGAAGAGGATGTCCCGCCGGTGCAACAACATGTAGTCCTATAATGCAGAACTTCAGGGTGTGGGAATCATGTGGCCAAAAACTGGTTCTTCTTCCCTCCCGTCATGGACTCATCAGGATTTCACATGATATAACCTGCAGGTCACCGAGCTTATTGGGGGGAGTCTCAAACAGCTGAGGAACGCTTGGTTTTGGCTCGGAACATCGTCGCCGAACAATGGCGCTGACTGATCGTTCGCTCTGAGTCCCAGCACTGAGAAACTGCTTGCAGACTCGGGCAGTTTCACACCGTGTATCCCCATTCATCCCCTCTTAGAAGAGTTGGGATGTGAACAAATATATCCAACAGAGAGGTGAGGACTGCAGGCCTGCCTTTAAAACTATCCCATTGTTAGGGACCAAAGACTAAATCACATCAAGAATTCTGTGACGTTGGTGGGCTGCCAGAGATGGGGAGCTTTTGGGTTATCTATATACACTGTTTGGGAGGGTTATCCCCATTTGCAAGTTCTCCTCAACCCGTCCAGTTCAACTGCACCGTCGATTTCGAGATCGGACATGCATGTCGTCATCGTCGTGAGGATGAGACCGGGAAGCGGGACAAACACGATCCGAAGAGGCCAATGATCTATGACCTGGATACTGGCTTCCAAGTCTTTGTGAATGCTGACCGCAGAGCAACTGGGCTGGGCACAGTGTTCACTCAGGCATGTGCCTCCTTGTGAGATGTAGGATGGGGATCTTGTAATTGCATATGTGTGAGGGAAAGCAACTGCGAACATGTTTTGAAACACCAGGCTTACAGAATCTGTCACACGGAAGCACCCATCATCCTGATTGAGCATCCAGCAGCTATGTAGACTTGTGTTTTGTTTTTCTAAATGCCCCAAGATCCTGAGTCTCCCCCACACCCTGTTGAAAAGCCAGAGTGTGCCGGGTCAGCAATGCACATATTGAATCTTTGGCACTCCCCTAAGGGGTCCTGGATCGTACCTTCACAGGTTGGGTACTGACTGGGTGACTGGACCCTCCTGGCACATACATGACAGTGTCTCCCTTCGTTGAGAAGGTACTTACCTGGATCCCTATAGGGCTCGTTGGTCCATCAACACGAGGCTCAAGGCTTCTTTATCCGCAGTTGGAGCCGTTCTTGTCGTTGGAACTTCCGCGACCCCAGGAACTCTCGAACGTGCCGGGCTCTGAACCCTCGGTGCGTTACAGCACTCTGCTGGTGGAGTTGGGGCCCTCCATCGTGGCGTGGCTCCAGCAGACGAGGAGGAGCACAGGACCTGGACCTGGTTGAAAGGTTTGAGCTGTTGGTTTGAGGCAGATCCCATTGGGATCACATCATATGGGATCCAACCAACCATGTTTCTGAGCAGAGGGTTGGAAGAGGGCATAACTGAGGTTCCCTATTACTGTAGACATCTGGATGTTTCAACAAGTTTCAATCCACCCCAACTGAAGAAACATCTTCAATCCATGTTTTGTGGGGCCCAAGAGGTTTGACAGTCGGGCTCAAGGTTGGTAATCGCTGAGTTTCAGATTCGGAAGCACAGACGTCGATCACGGTCCTCGATCCAGCTGGTGCAGAAGCAGGGACATAAACAAGATCCCAGGGGGCAGAGGAGGATCCATAAACACTTGAGCCATTTTGAGCCACATTCTAAAGACCTTTATATACATTCTAATAACATTCTGACAACCATATTCAAGACGATGCGCAACGTGTTTAGAAGATTGTGGAACAACTTTATTTATGGCTCGCAGATGCTTCCATCTCTGATTTTGTTCAGTGCTTTTAAAGGCTACCATCCAGTGGATTCCATCAACACAGATGATCAACTGGTTGACACAACTGGTGACATGGCCAAGGCACGGTACCGGGAGATCATCAACTACCTAAAGAATGGCGTTTACCCGGCTTCTCAGCGGCAAGTCCCAAGATCTTTTGCGATGGCGGTGGAGTGCCAGGCAGTTTGGAGTTGGAGGGAGTTCTTGTTGAATCAGCTGGTGGGCGTTTGGCAGTGTAGAATTGCGACTTTTTGGAACGGTATGCTGGAACTTCTGGCAAACGGTCTGGATGGTTCGTTTCTGGTGCATTGCAGCGGAGGTCGACCAGGTTTACCTTTGATCACTGGCCTAGGCATGCTGAATAGCGCTCCAGAATGATGGTTTTGGATGTTTTGGGTGGTTTGGTTGATCGGACCTGGATGCGTTTTTGGTGCACGATGGTGCACGTTCTATTGTTGAGTCGCGGTGGCGATCTGAGGCCTTTCTTCTGGCCTACTTGAGAGTATGAGGTCTGAAATCAGTCCAAAGTGTGCGCGCAAAGTTGTTGGAATTCTACCAGCTGCAAAACCCGCGCAGACTGCTGTAGGACCTCAGTCTCACCCCCGCAGAACACGTCTGTTTGGTCGGCTGGACGGTAATATGCAAAGCAGCCAGTAATTATTATTCAGTAATTACGTATACTTACTGGTGTTGTGAAACCTATATACAAATCACCAACAACATCCCATGCAAGGCTGCACTGCAGCCTCAAGAGCCAGTGGTGGAGTCCACGGAAAAAAAGGAAACAGAAGAAAACAAATGGGCCTGGAGGATTCCACTCGCGGCTTTGTTATGGCAACTCTATCCACCGCTTTGTGGATTCATCAAAGCCCTCTCAGGGCTGGAGGTATGGTACATCCATTCTGGAGACCAGAGGAGGGGGAGGGTCTGACTCATTTACATGATGGGGTGACGACGGTGACGACATGACTACTTGCAGTCACATGGGGTGATGGCAACTTTACGAGTCCAGCCAACAGACTACATGATGGGGGTGACTTTTAGGTTTGCAGTGATTTGCAGTGGTCCCTTTTCAGAAGGATGTGGAAGACGACCCTTTGTTGAGGCACTCGGGTTTTCAGACCCCCGCTTTGGACATAAACAAGTGCTTGGAGCTTGGTACCCGCATTCAGCGTGTTTAAAAGCGTGCTTTGAACGTGTTTCAGAGACACCCTTGTGTGTTTTTTCATTTAAGATTATATTCTACTACATTTGGTGCATCATAAATAGCCTTCATGAGGTTAGCCTTCACTTCAGTTAAGCCAACCGCAGAGGACCGCCTACATGACTGCTGACCAACACGAGCAGAAGGTACCAACGTGACTTCTGGGACCTGAGATTTCTCACCAACACGGACCAACGCGCATCGTCGACCTAGCCAACCGCTGGCGCAACGCCGGGCGGCCATGCTGGCGGCATGCCAACGCACGAGCAGAAGCAGGATGAGTAGCTCCAAAGGAGCCGGAATCTGGCTGAAGCAGGCTTCCCATGGCTTCCCAGGGTGCGGATATGATATGGAAATAATGGAACCCAATAATGGAACTTCACCAGATCCCCCTTTCTCCACACACCCTCCATTTAGCCTTCATATGATATGGAACATTGATTCTCTTTCACCGATCAAGACATGTACGCACGAGATATGATCCAGACTTGCTCGAGCTGCTCAAGCGAGACATTGTAGGGTTCAGCGTTGGTTTGTCGGTCCAAGAAATCAGGCAGAACCAAGACCGGATCCTCTGAGTGCTTAAAGCGGTCGGACCGGAATTACCTGACTTCTAGGAGTTCCTGAACACTTTGGCGATGCCCTCATAGTCTTTGAACTTCGACGGGGGTCCTGGAAAATAAATCATGTGTCCCTTCTCCAAGAACTGATTATAAGCGAACTATCTATAGTGGGGAGATCCATGATCTTCACCCGTCGACGTTCCCTTGAACCAAGTCTGGGACGTTCTCATCCTTCTTTTTTACAACTTCTAGCTACCTTTTTGGAGGGTTTATATCTTGTTAGCCACTAAGAAGTCCTGGGGAGACTTCCATCGGATTTGGTCTCACCGAAATCAGACTTTATCTATAGTCTATACCCCATCACATTGGCCATGATCGGGTGATTGGAGGTGTCCGACGGCAGGTATGTCAAACATCCTGGAATCCTCCATGATGATGATGTCATAGGGGCATAGGCTATAGGTGCATAGGAAAATGAGCAATAGGTGCTGCTAAAACTCCTGGCAACAGAGGGCCGACAAATGCTCGAAGATATTTGAAGACAGGAGAGGGGAGAGAGAGAGAGAGAGAGAGCGAGCGAGCGAGCGACAATGAAAAACACGGTCTAGCTATACACACTAGCTGCAGAAGTGCTCTTTAGCCCTACCAGGGCTACATCTAAGCCAAAAGCCTTGGATTTCAATGGATTTCAGATGAGCCAGACCTGTCAGACGGATCCATCATGCGCTGTGCGACCAAAAGCAGCGTGAAAGAGCAACTGCAGTTGAGCGACGTTCGACGATGGGGTTCTATTGAACTTTCCTAAGGCCAATGGTGTCATCTACAGGCCTGTGAATCCAGAGAACGGCGGGTAATCATTCACCAGCAAGTCTTATTGATCCAATGCCTTCATTTTGCGATGTCACTTGTTCTTTTATACTCCCCTTCTTCGTGCAGGCCTTTGCCATCCTCAATGTGCGCCAGCATTGTGGGTGGAAACGCTTGTCCGACCGACAGGTGCCTTGCCTGCCCTCCACGAAAAAGCAGAGATAAGAGCATAAAGAGTGACATGTATCTGAGCCGCTCTAAAAACCTGTCTTTGCAATCGAATTCCGCGTAAGCAAAACCCTGGGTTGCGTAAGATTGCGTAAGCATTTCGCGTAAGCATTTAGGAAGTTTGCTCTGCGTAAGCAAAAGTGAGGGCCGCGTAAGCAGCGCGTAAGGCCTCGCGCAAGGAAAGTGATACGACATAGGGAGTGACTCCAGGTTTTTAGAGTGGCTCATCTGGAAATCATACAAGAGAGGTGGTTAGGACTGCTTAGTGGTCACTTGGAATTGGCTCGCTTGTTGGTAGGGATGGTGTCGCACGAGACGGGTTGCACCAAATCGCACCACTTAGTACGTCGGGTTTCCGTAGACGATCTAGCTATATCCAACTAGATGCCAAGCCAGCAGTCTCATACTATATACATCCAGAGTCGTAATTTTGGGAAGGCAGTCCCAAACGATGCCAGTATAGGCAGAAAGAGTTGCAGATTTGAGAGCTTCAGGGGCTGACATTCTGTCTTCAGAACAGATAGCGCAGTTCTTCAGATCAACTCCCATGTTTGACAATGATGATTGCCCTAGGAAGTTGATGTTTCCTCTTCATGCCGCTCTTTTGGTCGACCTGTTTCTTGCACTGGTGCGAGGACAGTGGGGAACGAGGGTGGCTGCATCCTAAGGATTCTATAGGTGGTGGGGGTCATTCCGGGTCATTCCCTCATTCTTGGTGGGTCGCACCAGTCAGTAGTTTCCCAAGTCCGATCCTTTTGAAATAAGGAGACCCTGTGACCTGTTCTCGCCCAAGGCACACTATACCATCTATACTCACCGTGAGGGGAGACACAGCTGGCCAGTCCAAAGGCACGATGCTGAGATCTTCAGCTTTAACACTTCCTGGAACTAACATGGAAGTAGAACACATTAGAACACAAATACCATCTTCCTCTACAAACAGTGTTTTTTGATGGTTTTGGCACTTCCATTTTAGTTCCAGGGGGAGTAGAACATGCCATCAGCACTGAAGGCTGGACTCAGCCTTCGCTCGAGTAGCTGTCCGCGTAGAAGATCAGATGCGAGGTGACCTGTGGCAGAGAAGAGATGACCTGAAAAGCCAAAGACGCTCCATGTATGGAATATATTCTATGTTTACTTTGACCTCCCACACGAAACCCCAACTAATTTTGCCGGAGTCATATATGCCAGTCCCACCGACATGTCACCGGTGCTGTTTACGAGAAAAGACATGTCTGATGGACCAATGTGGTTCTCCAAGACCATCGAAAAGCAACTGCCTCACCCAAAAGACGCCACTGGGATGTGGGAAACGGACCCGTCCATTTGTGGCAGCGCGCTTCGAACGGAAGCGGCTTGTACAGGGATGTTCATGCCTTTCGTGCCTGCAATGCAGCCCCAACCACGGGGTTGGGGGATGGTTGGGGGTTCAAGACATAATTAAGGATGAAACTCCAAGTCATGAAGCGCTCCCAGAAGCCCCCCAAGGCCGGAAGTTGATCGTTTCCTCCCAGGGGCTTCAGGGGAGGGTTCTTCAGGGTCTTCAGGGGGGTCTTCAGTTGATCTCCAGGGTCTTCACTTGATCTCAGGGGGAAGTGAGATCCAAATTGAGGGGACGTTTGAGTCAATGCTGAGCCCTCTCCAAAACCATCACCACCCCGACATGGAAATCCTGGCTTATTGACGTATGGCCCTATGGCATAAATCTGAGCCCGCTCTACCACTCAGATGAGTCTTAGTTTAGTTTGGGTCAACCAAAGTTTCGGAACTTTGTGGCTTCTGTGTTTGACAAATGGACGAGTGTTTCCTGCATAATCATATGCTGATGTTTCTTGCCTCCCACAATACATGTCAGTTGCTCGATTCCGGTGGTATCATTTGCGGTGCAAGTGCCAACTCTGTTAACCATGTGCCCTAGCATGTTCAATTTTGGTGCACCTTGTTGGCACGGAGGGCGAATTAGCAGAGCAACAGGCGCATCAGACTTGCGCCCATGCCGCTGGTCGCTGTTGCAAAGCTTGCAATCCTTGCGTCAAAAAACGCGGAAGCATGAAACCTGAAGCATGCCCTTCCCGGCAAAAGATGCTTTGCGGGTACAAGAACGTGTGCAATGTAATGACTGCTCAACAATCTAATTAACACCTGACAGCTTGTGTGAGAAGGGGAACACATAACAGATCATAACAGCAATAATTACCGGTGTGCCCTGTCTATGCTTTTGCAGGGAAAGTATGCCATGGTATGCTCTCAGATGGTCGTGGCACAGCGCCAGCATCGCTTTGCCCAATCTTGGATGTTCAAGGATGGAGAGAACCGGCACTGGCTCGAGCTCCACAGTGTTCAACTGCTGGTGTTTGTAGCATTCGCTGGCTCCCCCCTTAACCTGATATATCATGCTAACCCTCCACCCCCACCCCTACTTGCGGCATTCACTTTGCAAAGTCCTTTTGTTCCACCAATGGAAAGGGTTGCACTACTCCCCTCCTGATGAACATGGATCCCCAAAACCAAGGGGGCTGGTCTTCGGATTTGGTCGAAAACCACCCCCCCACGGGGCGTCTTCCTTCTCGGGGTCCATGTGGGTCCGTCTGCGGGAGGGGTATGTATTCTTTGAGAAGTATTTTCTAAGAACTGCTTCCAAGCCAGAGAGATGAAGCACTTGGCTGCATTGGAAAGGCTTTCCAAGCCAGAGTGAGTCGGTGCACA